CTGTACGTATGTATACTCAGGATTTTAATCTTAGCTATTCCTCAGAATTAGCACTTGTCTTCTTTGCTCCTAGTTTTCCGAATCTTTATTATGGGAATAGAGTCCATACATGAAGGTCATAAAGACTAAAACCCAGCGTTAGCAAGAGGAACAACAATTCACTTGCCCAAGAATTGTTCAAGAACAAAGTCCTATAACCCAAAGGCAAAGTTCCACACTGGTTTTTTTCTGCTTTTAATTAAACATTGACTTGTAGATTCTCAAACTTGGCTGCATATCAAGAAACAGAGGTCCCTGGAGTATCAAGCGTTCCTTAATTCTGTTACAGGAACACTAAATGAGAACCTCTAACACCCCCCTGCCCCCACCATACCTTTTTCACACAGGGTTTGGAGGGAAATGCCTCAGGAAATGGTTGGGTTTGGACAAGCGTTCAGGTGAAAAGATCCATTAGGGATTGAAAATATCAGCATGGTCCTCAAGAGGCTTGGGAAAGAAATGTAGAACCACACAGCAGCTAAGGAGCAAAAAGCAGTGAAGGACAGCAACCAAGGAGGCTGAACTCTGAGAACCAGATTTCAGAAACCAAACAGTTTACAGAGGAAAGAAAGGCAACATGGTGACCTCTAATATACAATTTGGGAGGGCACAGGACTAGAAAAATGGAGTGATCTCTCTGAGCCACTGGTAATGGCAGTATGCCAGCTTATTAATTTGACCTCTTCCTCTGAGACTGGAAAGAAAAGTGTGGTTTTACAGCTTTATAAATTTGCATTGTTGGTAGCCTGGGCAGGAAGGGTAGTGGATAATACTGTTGGGAGTTCCTTTTGGGTATCCTTGACTCTTCCTCTAAATGCTGGCTAACACAGAGGCACAAGGACAGTAATGACTGGAGTAAAAATGGCTAACAGGTTCTGAACGCCTAGGGAAACTACTAAGAGCATGCGATAAGACCACCACATAAAATTCCAATGATTCCCTTGTAGCAAGAGCATCCAAGATTGAAAACGTGGTGAAGAGTTGACAGGAAGACTGTGAACTGCCCATGTCAAGGTTCTGGAGGAGTACTCAGAAAATCAGAAGATGGTAAGTTAGGCTGGGGGGCTGAATTAGGTAAAAGACTGAAAACTGGTCATCTGAGGGGCTGAATCTGATCCAGATACACTGCTTGGCTCATGCAAGAGCTTAAGAACACATCTTTGCATTGGCTGCCCACTAGCAGATCCTTCCCACACTGGAGTATCTGGGAACACTGGGCTCATCCCTCACAGCACTGGGGAGAGCAGCTGTTTGGTACAGCCCCTTCCCTCTCTTACACACACGGAAGCCATCGGTTGGACACTACCTTTCATCCAGGCAGTTGGCAAAAGGCTCAAAGTAAAAGGGTGTTTGTGTTATATTCATGGTAGAAGGGCAGCAGCCTGGAAAGGATAAGCCACCCTCTTCCCCACTTATTTTTCCTTTCTTAATGTTTTGTTTACCTTTTGAGAGAGCACAAGTGGTACACAAGTGGAGGCAGAGACAGGGGGACCGAGGATCCAAAGCAGGCTCTTCACTGGTAACAGTGAGCCTGATGTGGGGCCCAAACTCAGGAACCACGAGATCATGGCCTGAGCCAGAGCTGGATGCTCAACTTGGACGCTCAACCTACTGAGCCATCCAGGTGCACTGCCCCCCCCCCCACCTTCTAATTAGAAACTCACCAGGGGAGTGAGCTGCATCACACACAAAGGCAGGTAAAACAGGGCTGGCCAGTCGTCATAACTTTCTGCTGAGAAAGCTTTATCAGCAGAAAATACAGGGTCTCGTCTCATTCAATGGATGTGACAGTCTAATCGATGCTCTCAGGATTCTGGATGTCTTCTGCCTCAACTAGCCAGAGACCAGCGTTCCTGCGTTGGTACAACTGCTGAATTTACAATAAAATAAATCCTGGGGCACCTGAGTGGCTCAGTAGGTCAAGCTTCCATTCTCGATTCTGGCTCAAGTCATGATCTCATGGTTGATGGGATCAAGCCCCAAGTTGGGCTCTGTGCTGACAGTGCAGAGCCTGCTTGGGACTCTCTCAATGAGAGACTTATTAAAGAAGGGACTTATAAAAAACTAAATCCCCAAACTGGAAAATAGACGAATCCTCAGAAGTGGTGCCAAGGCTCTGTGATAGCATTTAAAAAATCCTGGGGCATCTGCATGGCTCAGTCCATTAAATGTCTGATGCTTGATTTGGGCTCAGGTCACCATCTCATGGTTTATGAGCTCAAGCCTGCTTGGAATTCTCTTTCCTCTCAAAAGAAGATGAACAAGATGTATTTTTTAAATTTTAAAAATTGCACTCAAATCTTTAACTAAAACTTTACCACGTAAAGCATTTAGAATTTGCTTTCATTAGGTGTGAAGGTGGTTTTGTTTTGCTTTGTTTATGGTATGGAATCCTAGGTCGCCTTGATTCCCAAAAGTGAGGCTTTGTTATTTCCAATTTCTGCACATCCTTGTGAATAAATCCTCAGACACATCTTAGGGCAAAAACCTTAAAGTGAAACTGATGGGCCTAGGAAGATCATTTTCATTTTATAGAAGTATAACCTACACTCAAGGCAAAAAACTGGAAGAAGGAAACCAGTCCTAATCTGTACAAGCCACCATAAACATCTCACTAGTGTACCTAAATGCTTTTCTTTATAAAACCTATGCTGCGTGCACGGTAACACACCTGTATACTCAGTGTGGACTTTTCCCCGTGAAAAAGTACACAATCATTTTTTATGGCCTAATAGCAGTCGCTGTATGGAGGTATCATCACTGGAACTAGTCCACTGGTCAATAAGTAAAAGGCTTTGATTTTTGCTTAATGTAAACACTTGCATCTTCCTATGCAAATATCTACATCCTGGGTCAATCACCACCCCTGGAAGTAGAATTGCTAAGACAAAGAACATGCTTTTGAAGAGGCTTCATTCAAGCCCAGCGCAGAGCCAATGTGGGGCTTGGACTCATAACTCTGAGATCAAGACCTGAGCTGAGATTAAGAGGTGGACACTTAACCAACTGAGCCACCCAGGCACCCCAAACATGCGCCTTTTCAAAGCTCTAGACACACATTCATATTGGGAGGTACTTCAGTACATACCAATTTCAGTATTTATCATGATTTTTGCCACCTAGTCTGACTTCACTTGGTCAAATCCATCAGCTCTTCTCTACCCCATTCATTAAAAGTGCGAGCTTGAGCATTAAACAGACTTCAGGTCTGTGACTGAATTTTTCCAGGCCCATTTCCTCAGTGGCAAGAGTAAAAACAGTTCTGTTCTTGAGATTATGAAAACCAGGGCCATCAATGTGCTTAACAGCTCCATCATTTCTGGAAATATGTTCAGTATTTACTAGGATTTTTGTTTGAATGTCTTCTAGGTTAGGGGCGCCTGGGTGGCTCAGTCAGTTGAGCATCCGGCTTCAGCTCAGGTCATGATCTCACGGTTCATGGGTTCGACACCTGTGCCAAGAACTCAGAGCCCGGAACCTGCCTCGGATTCTGTGTCTCCTTCTCTCTCTGCCCCTCCCCCACTTGCACTCTCTCAAAAATAAACATGAGAAAACAAATTTTAATGGAGGTAGAAATGCAACATCTTAACTCCAAACTGTTAATGATTAATACATGTTTAAATAGACTTGATCCTATTTTTTTTTTTGAACTGTCTATTCTGTTCCATGCGTATACCTACCTACATTACAAGACTACATTGTTTTAATAAGGGCAGCTAATACACTGTATTTTTACGGGGCTTTTCCTTTCTCATTTTCCACAACTTCTCTCCCAATTAGTGTTTGTTTTTTAAAATACTTTCCTGACTGTATTTTTTCAGAATGGCACACTGAGATCTTATCAGACCAACTTGGGAGTACTCCATTTTAATAACACTGAGTCACTATCCAGGAACATAGTATGCCCATCTATTAATATCTTTTATGGACTTCAGTCAAGTTTTAGTTCATCACTAGCATTTGATCTCTACTCTCTAAAATTAGTATTTCTTTCTACTACTTGTTCTATGGACTAATTTGCCTATTCCTATAGTGACTTGAAAGGTATTCATACTTAAAAATTTAGTTACATTTGAAGCCTTAAACATTCTCGATCCTGTTTATCACGTTCCTCACTTAACTAGTCCACCCCCTAATGACACCCCCAACTCCTATTTTTTTGTAAACAATCTGGAATTTAAAAAAAATTACATAAAGCAAAATTCAGTTTTTACGGGGTGTTTAAGTTCTGGGAGTTCTGACAAATGCATAGTCAGGTAACATCAAAATCAAGATACAGACCGGTTCCCTTGCTCACCTACAATCTCCTCAGCAACTCCTTGATACTCAAGTCCTCCCCTACCCCAATCTGTTCTCCATCCCTCTGGTTTTGCACAATCTCAGATTTGTATACGTCTTTAGCAGTAAGTATAATATAATAAGACTACTTTTTCTCTTATTAAATTTAGTTTCATTGGTTTTCAGCTTAGAATTCCATACAGCCAAAGTATCTTCAAACCTGCTTTTGTCATTTCTACGAAGTCCTTCCTGGCTGTTCTAACCAAAACGGCAACATACGGCAGTTCTAAAAGGCTGCACAACCATAGGGTCTAAATTTGTTTCTTGTTTTAGTTCACAAAATAAGTATCCTACCCTGTACAGAGTTGGGAGTAGAGTCCAGCATTTTCAAAAGGGCTGGTACCCCTCAAAATGATTTTGAGGGCCAAATGGTGTGTCCACACCTCCTGATGGTCTGTTTGAATCTATTACACCTAAAAGCTAACTTCTTCCTGCCCAAGTGCTTACAGAGTCTTCTATCTATTAAAACTGTATGTTGCTTATGCCAAAGACAGTACAAAGTACCCTAAGTCTGAAATTCAGCAGGAATTATCTGCACAAAAATTTAAACTAGTTCAGTCATTAATAATTTCATCCATTAATGATAGACTCTAATATGGACAAATGTGACTGATGTACTTTTTATCCCTTGTCTCGATTTTACAATCCAAATGAGGGGATGCTTTTACCTAGAGCTGCAAAGCAACTGGAGGATCTACTCCTGTGACTTGGAAATTCCCCGAGGAAAAACTGGCTGATTGTTTAATGAACTGCTTTTTGACAGAACTGGCAAGGAGGGTAATTCAGAATGGCGAGGTGAGTAGGCGCTGACAGCAGTTATTATGTGTATGTGACCAACGGGTTCTTACTCCCTAACAGATCGAGAAGGCTATTTAGATGGTAACGGTAATAGTACCACAAAAGTAGTCAAAGAAAAATCCTGTACGGTGCTCAATCTTTAGAATATGGAGGCAAAGTGAAAAGTCCCCAACTTGTGAGAGGCTCACTCCAAGGTCTAGAAACGTTCAGGGTGTGTACTCTAACCAGACAGAAAGGAGGCGTTCTCTCACATAGAGTCCTTGACTGCTTTGCACATCTCCTTCCCCGAGGTTTTGGACTCAGGCAGTGAGAGCACCTGTCCTCGGTCCAGCAAGGTGCAAGAGTCCACCCTGGCAGGCTCTGCTTCAACTGACCTAGCCCTCCTCTTGTGCTGTAGCCCCATCACCTGCTCTATGCAGGCAACTGTCATCAGAGCTCTCATGAGGATTAAGTGACCTAACGCGGGCAGAGCACCTAGCAGGTTCTTCCTCTCACATAAAAACTTTGGAGAGTCGCTTGCTATCTGATAGGGCCATAGTACCAGTCAGAAATTTCTCTAGTCCCTTCCACGTGCCATTTTCACATGCCTACAGTGATCATATAAAAAAAATAAGTCTGTAAATTAGGTTTAGATCGGGAGCTAGAATTTTTTTCCCAAGCACATGCTATCTACTGTCATTTTCTTAAAACTCTGCGACACATCAGAACAGTAACGTCATCATTTAATAAATGCATTCTACACCCACTACGCTTTACCACAGCCAAGTAAATAAGACAGGGTCTCTCATCCCAAGAAACTTATAGGCACTAATGGTAAAGGACAGACAAAAGAATACACCACCAGCTAAGATTCACCGAACGTGTGCCAGGCACTGTTCTCGGCACCTTCTACGTATTATGTCATGGAATCCTGACAGCTACTACTTTATGATGTTGGATAAGCACTGCCATCTTACAGAGGCTCAAACAGGCACAGCTGATAAAGGATGGAGCTGGAAAATAAGGCAGGCCACCTAAATATGGGGTCCTCCCCAATCTACTACCATAAACGCAAGGGGAAAGGAGGGGCAGAGGACATCATGGAGACCCAGAGGAAAGGGAACTTAGTCCAGGTATAAAAGGGGGTAAGTGGAGAAAGGTTCCTGGAGAAGATGTGAAGCATATGACTAGGAGTTTGTTAGGTATGAAAGGGAAGGATGAGCCAGTTAGATAGAGAGGACCTCACCAGTAAAGGTATGAGTGTAGAATGAGAAAAGGTGCTTAGAAAAAGCGATTTGGTGTCGACAGGTGCTTACAGGTTTGGAAAGTACTGCCACATACTTGTTTTTATAAACCTTTCAGGACCTTTACTAAACATTCCAGGTTTGCTCAATGAAAAAGCCACACTTGGAGGTTGACGGGGCAGGTGTCAAGATCCGGGCACAGAGAAGAACCAGAGCTGAAGGGAGAAGAGAGGCTGGCCTAAAGGAGAAGTCCTGCAGCCAGGCCTGGAACCCGCGTGAGCACCCTTACTGCCGTATCATACCCTACACCCTCCTGCCCCACTGGGGCTAAGGGAAAAATGTGCATGTATCTGTAAAGAACTCCCAGGTGCTGTTCTTGAACACGAGCAGGCACACTCCGAGTTCAGTGGGCTGGTTACGAGGCAAGTCATGTGCCAGGAACTCGATCTGCACCCACCCTACACCAGAGCCTCCTCTACAGTACCGCATCTTAAATCCTGACTCTGCCACTAACTGTAACTCCATGGATCACTCCTCTGTGTTTATCCTCATCTGTAAAATGGGGATGGATAGCAGAAAGGCATCTGGAACAGACCTGGGCTGAACAAGTATTTGTAATGCTAATGTAACGCTAACACAGAATGCTAAACAAGTATTTGTAAAGTTAATTTCCCCTAAATTACACTTGGCTTTCTATCAAGCACCTTGGTGTCTGTTCTTTCAAACATTTGGGCTTTCTAATTGATTAAAATCAAGCAAGATGATTGTGACTACACTTTCTCATGTCACTAGTTCACAAAGAATCTTAAGAGCGGTCTCTCAATTTTCCAGTCTATGGATTTAGTTATAATCAAATTCAATTTCGATTTAATGAGCATCTCAACTTTTAGAACGGTGAGCGGTAAGGTAGAGCAGCCTCAACCATCTGTTTTTATGCTTATTTTATGATATGATGTACAAAGCTCCTGAGAGCTAGGATTAAGCTCATAATTGGCACGATGACTTTTTTTAGCGAGGGCTGTAGTCCCGGTATTATTTGACATGTATGAAAACAAGCCCTTCCAGTTCCAAGGAAAAGGCCAATGTGAAAAGCTCAGTAGTATTCCAAATTTCCAGTCACGTACCTGACAGTCATCCACGTCTACTTCAAGGAACACCACGTTGGAATACTTCTCAGAGAGGGACTGGAAAATTTAAAAAAATCCAGAAAGATTCAGAACTGGGTAATGGCAGTCACTATACTCAAGCTTCTTATACAGAAACCATGATAAAAGTAGAAACTACTAATTAAAGATCTAAAGATTCAGACTAGAGACCAGGTAAGCACCAAGGACATACAGTTTCTCTGAATCAGATTCCTCCTAGTATAAAAGAATTTGACACGTCAAGCTCTGAGGCCTGAATTTCAAACAGGGCCTGGGTTTCAACTCCAAGAAAAGCAAAAACCATTTAAGACAGTTCTGACAGTTGTCTTCACTGGGCTACACATGTGTCAAAAGCAATTACTGAAGTTGTTACACTATTGCTTCTACACCAAAGGTTCAACAACAACAACAAACACTGTCCTTTCCTGGCTTTGTGACCACCCACTCGAAACAGAATCTCTTATAAAACAGAACTGATTTCATACTCACATGAAAGAAGGGCTTGATCATTTTGCAAGGTCCACACCACGTGGCAGAGAAATCAACTACTACAAGTTTTTCCCCTGCACTGTTCAAGGCTTCCTGAAAAGCATACTAAGGAGAAAAAAAGAAACGCATAGGTTAAAAAGCTTCCTCTATTTCCCAAAGCCCTGATCAAACTTGATAGAATGTGATACAAAGAACAATTCAAAGGTACTGCTTTTTAAAAATCTAAGAAGCTAAAATGAACCAAACAAACTGAAAAAAATCCTACAGAGTTGATAAGACGAAACAAGTATGATGTATATAGTTTATCTATATTCAACTGAGCAAATTAAAATAAAGACATTTGTATTACATTTCCACATCAAATCTAGGTCAATGGCAAACATTCACTAAATGGGTATCAACTCATAGAGGGTCATTTCAATTGAATAAGTCACAAGGGCACAGAATTTTGCAACGTTAAAAGCTAATACTTTATGGGGGCCCCTGGGTGCTTCAGTCAGTTAAGTGTCTGACTTTTGATCTCAGCTCAGGTCATGATTTCACAGTTATTGGGCTCTGTGCTGACAGCACAGAGCCTGCTTGGGATTCTCTCTCACTCTCTTCCTGCCCTTTCCCCACTCGTGCTCTCTCAGATAAATCAACTTAAAAGCTATTACTTTATTAATTAAAATGGTCTATAGTGGAACATGTCAAAAGCTTTAAAAAAAAAAATCAAGGAAAAAAATCAAGGAAAATAAACCTCCTCCAAACGTTTACACTCAGGCAGTCACTGTTGACATTAGGCATATTTCCTTATACTCCCTTTAGTGGAGTTTCCAGAGATGAGATCATACTGCTTATGGCTGATGTCTGCCCTTTATCTCAAAACTCTGCTCTTACTGGTGACCAAATAATAGTTTTAGTTCTTCACGCAAAGAAGTTTCCTTAAATGTTTTTTTGCATTAGAAATGTCAAATAAAATTCCAGCAGTGAGACATGATCAAGAAATCCCTTACCACCCATCTCCCTGAGTCATTTACCAATGGTTTTGATATTGTAACCCTAGGAACCTAACCTTGGCGTTAACAAGGGGCTGCTTTTTAATCACAATTTAATCAGTGCTTACCGAAACTGGGGCAACAAAGAGAAACCAAAACATAAACATCTGTATCTGAAGTCTAGGTTTTCTTCAAGGGAAAAATGCTGGTCACATTGGTTTAATGAAAAACTAACGTTCCCTCCCCTCCCTTGAAAGCTAAGAATCATATCAGATCTGATCCACTAAAGGAAAGTAAATACCATTAAAAAAAAAAAATCTAAAGTGAATTCCTCTGCAGGACAGTTACTTTTCTATATTTCTAATTTCCAACTCCTGTTTTTTGGTGAAGCAATTCACAAGTGGCATTCCCATGTCATGACTTCTATAACCTTTTCATTTATTCAGGTACAAACTCTCACCCCACCTTCAGGGTGTGGGGAGATATTAGGTGTGTGTGAGGGAATGGGGAGAGAGAACAAGTTAGAATTATAGAAATCATTTTTCCAAACCATCACCATGTTTTCCGGATGAATTTAATGCAAAGCCTTCACTAACAGGATTTTTCAAAAGGTCAAACTAGCCATTCTACTGCCAGAACCAGGTTAGACGGGAAAAAAGTCAATGAATGATAACGTCCAATCAGATGAATGCACTGTTTTGTGAACATGGTTGGCTCCCAGTAAATACTTGAGATTACTTTCAACACAAAATATTATTCAAACACTCTCAAAGGTTCCCTCAAACCTTTTGATTTGCTGAATCAAATTCTAGCAAAACTACGTAAAATTCTGAAGAAAAAAAAAAAAAAGCCATGCAACAACTTTTGGCTTAACTGAAGAGTTACAGAGCCAGGTATGTGTAGAGGTCACAACAAATTCTCTTCTCCTGATACTTAAGTTGTTCTTAAAGAGACATCAATTGGAAAATGATTCAAGATTATCGCACGAGGTCTAACTCCCAGAAATTAACTATGAGGATAAATAAAGGTCCCCACCACAGATATAAATCCTCAGAAAACAAAACAATATATTTGGGGTAGATAAGAACAGATTCTAGGATTTCTTTTCCTAAACATACCCATTCTGAAGTTAATCAACAAGCATGAACGCTTATGTATAGAAGGTAGGGCGTTCAATAAATGGCCGATGCTATTCTTAAAAAACCACACACAACTGGGTTGATTTCTTTCTCATCACACATTTACAGTCCACTTATATCTAAAATAGATCCCAGTGACTCTAAACTATCACACTTCAGAAAGAGAGGTCTCGGATGGCCAATGGCACCAACTTTAGCCCATCAGGATGGAAATCTAAGGTGTGTTCAATATTTACTAGTAACATTCAAACATTCAACTAGTAATCATTTGATTAATTTTGATTAATTTTGATTAATGCCTCTGGGTCATAATTTTGAAGGTCAACTGATTATCAGGGTCTTTAGGCCCCAGGCTGTAGTCCTTTCTTGTGTAACCAATCTCCAGTCACCTTTGTACACATCTTCCATTAATGAGGGGAGGAGGGCGCCATAACTATGACAGCTAAAATGGGGAAAGACTGAAAGGTGTGTTCTAGGAATCAATCGATTTTGTTTGTAGTGTATGGGGATTCTGAGACAACTACTATAAGCCACTCAAAGTCCTACTCTTTTAATGGGTTCTCACCCCTTAGGTTATACTGATGACCTGGCCAGACCCTGGAGAACAACCCGTGAACTGATATTTGTCACTCAGTAGGTACTGAATAAAAATAGGAGGAACAAAACTCAATGACCTTTCCAACAAATGAGAGGGCTGCTAATTTTAATCTAAAAGTTCACACAATAATAATAAAAAGGATGCCATTAGGAAAAAAAAAATCAAGGACAAGCATATAATGAACTATAATCAATCAACATATATATAGGGAAAAGTTCAGCATCACTAAAATAAGATACAAGACCATTTTTCTTATTAATGATTTGGTCAAAGTTAGGGGGGAAATGTCACTGTTGATGGGGGTGGAGTAAAAGCACTGTCCTATGTGGTTTGGGCATTTACAAACCTGAAATAAAAGGTTCATGTCCCTTGACCCAATCGCTGCACTGGAGACCCTAAAAACTGCCTGAATGTCCAGCAATGTGTTCAGATACTCAAATGATTACAAAAGCTTCTAACTACCTGAAAAGGGCTCAGGCTAAACTTGGGGGGCGGGGTGGGGGACGGGTAGGGAGAGGCTCAGAAAACAGGATACATAAAATAATTTCAACTACTTTGCAGGTGTTTCTAGGAAACAGGAGATCTGTCTCTCGCAAAATTTCTACCAGGACCATATACGTTTCCTGATTATAAAAGTAACAAAAAGGGACCATTACAGAGAAACTTCCATTTTCAAAGCCACCCCAGCACCTCTGAGGTCCAGACATTCAAGGCGGGGGAGGGCTTGGGATGGGAGGTACCGCAGGGTAAACGCTTTGGAGAGGTTTTCCACTGTTCGAGCAACATCAATGTTCTCCCACTCACTTTTTTGACTGCATTTAACAAACACTTCTTGAGTGGCTACGGCATACCAACCAGACGCTATGTCAGGCTCAGTTTCCTGAGCACCAGGGCATTAGGCTCGCAATAACTCTCGATGATGGAACGCTATCCTGGACATTCCTAATAGGGCAGAACCACCACCTGGCGCGCCCGCCTCGGGGGCACTCCTGGCTGCAGCGAAAACCCCCGACCGTGGGTGAATCACGGATGGGCAGGGCAGAGGAGGCCCCTGGGCCCAGTCTTGGGGACTGAGTCATTCCAAAGCCAAGGCTGCCGGAAACACGCCCAGCGCCGCAAGAGGAGGAGTCCCGAGGGCGCGGCCCCGGCCTCACTTCCTTGCGGCCACCTGGGCCCCTCGGGCCTACAGGCCGGACTCGTACTTGCGAGGGGGGCTCCAGACCAGAGCCGCCCCCTGGCGTGGAGACAGCACTCGCCAAATCTGGCGCCGGGCAGCGAAGGAGGCGCCCGGGGTCTTCGGCCCGGATACGCTCCCAGGGGAGCTCACGCTACCCGCCCAACGTGGGTGATCACGCCGCCCACCGGGGAGCGGCCCGCAACCCCGCGCCTCCTTCAAGGGGCCCTCCATCTCTTTGC